CCCGCCTGTCTGAGCCAGCCTGTTCTCGCTGCTCCAGCGACGAGGAACACGGGGGAGAGCCCCCTTAAAAACCCTTCAAACCCTCCACCGTGACCAAAGCTCAGAAACCGGGGAATATAACTGCTGTCAGGTCGATAACAAGCACTAAAGCGCTTTTTCTGAAGTACGTGGTCGCCATTTCTGTGCTTAGGCAGGGGAATCCAACACTCATCCATGTTGCCAGCTGTCCATCTGTTGCCGGCTTTCACCCGGTCGCCCTGTTGCTCGTGTGAACATTCAGGCTGTGGTTTCGTGCTCAGCTCAAGCACTTGCCAGTGGTGTCAGTGTTGTCAGCAGGGAGTCTCTCTCTGAGACCAGCTAGCGCCTGTTTACCAGCCCGGGGTCCAGCTCCACCAGGGCCACCGAGTGACCTTCAGCTGTCAGCAGGGAACAGGTGTGGGCAGTGTCCGGCACGAGAGAGGCATGAATGGCCTGGATAGACAGCATCCCCCCCAACCCCCCCCCCATCTCCCTCTCAGCTGTTCCCTCATATCCAGCTCGGCATATCCATCCCCATCTCTGGAAGTTCGGAATATCCTGGTGGGAGAGGGGGATGGGAGAGGAGCTGCTTGATCGCGATGACGTGCCAGGAAGCAGAAAGAAGCCCTTTCTATCTCCTGTTTGATCCCCGGTTCCACAAGCGCCCGCGCAGCAGAGCTCTCTCTCTGTTTCTCTCTCTTCCTGTCTTTCTGTGCTCCTCTCTCCTCTTTTCTTCCTTGCACTTCAGCCCTCCTGCAGCTCCTGCGCCTTTTCCAAGTCCCGGCATGAGCCTGGGTTCAGCCTTCTTTCTCTTTCTGAAAGCGACGCGTAGCTAGGGCAGGCAGAACAGACGGATCGAGGGCCTTTTAAACTTTTTGTACCTCTAGATTCAGAAAATGGGGAGGGTGGAGGGGGGGGGATGAATTCCTATCCCGTCAGCTGTCTCCAGATTGAAGTGGTATTAGCAGATCGCAGTCCGAGACGATAGTAGCGCTCACACGACCGGACAATAAGACCTAAGAAATCTAACCAGGGGAGGAGGAGATGCTGCATCAGACTCTTGCAGTGTAGCAAGGTGTTGTCAGTGTGACAACACAGTTATCCATTCCCCACCACACTCGCTCCGCTCAGCTGTTGTGCTGGTAGCCGGGGCTCTGGGAATGTCACTATTGACGTCATCCAGCATTCCACGCATGCCTCCACCCGGCCCAGAGGAACTGGAGCCATTTCTCAGGCAGAGAGGGAGACAGGCCCAGGCCTGGGGGGTCAGGCAGGGGGGCTTGGAGGGATGGCGTGGGGTATGAGGGGGGGTTGCTTTCAACAGCTGCCCACTGGGTGGTCATCTTTCCTCAGGCTGTGAGAAACTCCAGACCCAGGGGGCGTGGGGAGAGGAGGATAACGGCCCTCCTCCCCCCTTTTTTTTCTCTCCTCAAGTCAAGTCCAGGTTTTTTTACGTTTTGTTTTTTGGGGTTCGACAGTATTAGTGTGCAGTTAATTATTTTCCCCACAGTCTAGTCACTCTCTGTCCCTGAACACCGCGAGTGTGCTGCAGTGCCAGGCCAGGTAGATTTTGGAACAAATGATCTGGTGATGGCTTGACCCAAGTTGGAGATTCGGGTTGCGAGTATGAGCCGTGCTGACTCTGGGGCTGGCCATTTCCACGCTGGTCCACGACTTCGGTCCGTCATGCAGTGCTGGAGGGGCGGCAGAGAAACTGGCTGCAGCAGGCAGGCAGGCAGAGTGGGAGGTTGTTCAGGCCAGCAGGTGGCGCTCTCTCCTCCTTTCCCCTCCGTCTTTCTGTCCCACTCTGTCGGGCTCTCCATCTACTTGTGCCACACTCTCTCTCTGCTCTTTCTCTGTCCCACTCTCGCTGGCCTGATCCGGCCCATCCCCCTTCCAATCTCTCCTCCTCTTCCTCTCCGTCCTCGTACCTTCTGCACAGGCAGGCCCGACTAGTGGCTGGTTCACTTAGATGTCAGCCCGTTGTGCTTGTCTGCTTGCTCGGTTATGGATCAGAGAAAGGCATCTCGCCTCCATGTTACTTGGAAAACAGACGGTAATGCTGACATCAGGCAGAGTAAGACGATTCGGATATAGAAACATTGCACATAGTGCAACAATCTCAGAAAATGTGTGTGTTTTCTGATTGTGTGTGTGTTTTCTGATTTGTCAAGTGCATTAGTGATGCAGATGGAATGTATGCGTTGTGACTCTCGGAGCCACTGTAAATCCTCCAGTTGCTCCACCAATAAAAGAGCCAAGAGCACTGAGTACCACACCAACAGCTCCTATCTTAATGGATGGTGTTTGCTTATGGCACATGGGACGCATCGTTTGTTTAAATGACCCCAAGACATCTGGACCAGCATTATGACTGGGAGATTTACTCAAGACACAGACCACCCTTTGTGTCAAGGAACTGTCTCTGAATTTCAGGCCCTAGTTTTTCACTTGTGACTGGGCTCATTCAAGAGCAGATTTGCCCCCTCCCACCTTATGTGTAGCATTTTTTTTATCCTCTCCCAGCAAACGGGTACATCAGTGCCAGGGCGTCGCCCGGTCTCCTCTCAGTATCCAATGGCAGCAGCTTGGGGAAAGTTGGCCCGTCGAAGTCTCCGCCTCCGCCCAGCGCCCAGATGGTGAACAGCCGCAAGCCGGACCTCAGGGTCATCACCTCACAGAGCGGGAAGGGACTCATGCAGCTGGTGAGTCCAGCCAGACGCCTTTGAACCAGCTGAGCCCAGTTCCGGTGTGCTTAGATCACAGCAGGGCACCCCGATATCTCCACTGTTAATTCTGTTGCCAGTGTGGAAGTTCATGTAAATATAAATGCACTTTAGTCCACTTTTGTCCTGTGCTAATGGCCTTTCTTTTTCTGATCCATTGCTAGGAAGTACTGTATGTTCCGGGGAAGCATTTAAGTGTTGCACCGCACTGCATGTTTGGAAAAGTGCGGCGCAACACAGAAATATTTCCCCCTGGTGTTTGGAACTGTAGGCTCCTGTTTTTGGGCCCAGGTGCGAGGCATTTAAGTAGAGAGATCTGGATTCATTCTACTGGACTTGTGTTCATAACACTTTTTGTGGCAAAACTGATGATGCCGCTGGGCATTTTGGTGTTCTATTCAACTCTTCGCCACAAGCAAAAACAGTAGTTCTACTGCATTGCCTTTATGCATTTGCATAGTCCTGTAAGTCCCAAGTTAAGTTAAAAATTGAGCTTGATACCCTACCAAAACAAACATCTGCTCGACGCACAGACAAGAATGGCAGGCCCCAGAGGGCATTGCAGTGTCTCGGGGTGAATTAACGTGCTTTCTGTCCTCTTCCCTTCATGCAGACAGATGAGGAGCTGGAGCTGGTGAGTGAGGTACATTGGTCTTGCGTCCGATTCCAGCCTAACACTGCTGTGATACCAGACCTCGGTCTAAACGTGTGGAAATATGCTTGGGGTCTCCTGTCTGGCTCCGCCAGTGAACACGCTCACCCAGTGCACGGGTTTAGCACTGTGATCCAGAAAGCTGAGATCTAAGCAGCTCCAAGCCATGGCTAAGCGACCTGGCTGGTTGCTGGGGTGTGGCAGCTGTCTGCCCCAGCAGCGACTCCTGCAGTTCGAGAGGGGGGGGGGCTGCTCTTCCAGCCATCGCTGGTGCTCCTGTGGTCAGGGGCTCCAGCTGACCGCAGGGAAATCAGATGCCCGTGCCTCTGATCCTACTTCTCTCCCACCTGCTGGGTGTCATTGCCCAAGAGCCGAGTCTGTAAAACAGTTACAGATTGGGCAGGGATGCAATGAAAAATAATTGGCGATTTGACGTAAAAAAAGAAAGACTCGTGATGGGCAGTGCCCAGTAGGAACAGGGTGGCACATACCCAGTTACTTTCCTTATTGCACTGTTTCAGATCATTCTGCCCTGATGGCATATTTCCCAGTTATTGCCTGGAATATAGCGTGCTCACACACCTGCTAAAACAACATCAACCTGATGTTTGAATTTGTTTTTTTCACTGACATGCATTTTTTTTATTGCACTTTTGCTTTTGCATCATATGTCACTGGAATGAAACTTCCAACAGTATTGTACTTCACGTGTGCCATATCTTACCAACTGATTTGTCTCCAAAAGTCCCACAATGCCCGGACACCGTGTTCATCCAAACAGATGGTTCAGCCACACGGTGGGCTCTTTGTTCCATCGGGTGTTCTCTGTAGGTCAAGGATCGTGTAATTAATCCAGAAACTAGGTCAAATAAGTAACTGCGAGCTGGTCTGCAGTGTGGTGGAGGTGTTTCCAGCGTGGCAGAGCAGCTGTGTGGGCTGATCAATGAGATCTCCCTGGTGCATTGTCGTAGTGCTCTCCCTAAACACTCAATGAGAAACTCCTTTTCAGTGTTAATCCAATTCGGCACTGTTGGGACTTTGATGAGTAGTTTGTATCCACTGTTTAACCAGCCTCTGATTTCATTTCTTGTTGTTTTTTTCCTCTGAGCCTAGACTTCCAATTATCTTTCGGTTCAGTCTAGTATTCCCAGAGCCAGGCTCCTGGAATCCACAGTATCCATGGTTGCATGGGGGCAGCAGTATGGAGTGGCACTTTTTAGAGTGATCTGGGTTCATCATACCTGGATCCTGCCCTTTGGGACCAGGACTGGACACCCCTGAGATACACTGTGGTGGTCATGTCCAGCACTCATCTTGAAGAGAGATCAGGAGGGTCAGGCTTGTTAGGTGCTTTCAGACAGCATTGAGCAGGAGCTGGGGCTCTGAATTCACGATTGGAGAGGCGCATGTGTTTGAAATGGATCCCAGCATGACCGGGGAGGACAAGGTGGGAAACCTAGAGCTGGGGATAAACGGGTTCATAGAAGGGCTTTTGACCTTGACCTGACCTCATGCTCTATAAATCACTTCCTTCCATCCATCCATTTTCGAAGCATTTCAGCCAATCCTGGGTCTTGAGGCAGCCGCGGCCTATCCCAGCAAGCAATGCTGGCCGGGGTGTCAGTCCATTGCAGGACGAATCACTTTCATTTTAATGTTAATGATGAGATCGGCACCGTTATATGACAGTCACAATTCTGTAATGATAATGTCACTCCAGTCCCGTGTTCCTCTGGAGCACATTGCCTGTGGGGGAAACGACTGGCAGCTTCCACAGCAATCAGATTTCATACCTGATGTTTCAGGACATTTTTGTTTTGCGAAGAATCACTTTTTGTCCTGGTCATGTTATTTTCTTTGGGGGGGAGGGGAGGACGCATCTTCTACCAGCTCTTAAAGCAAACAAACTGTTGATGATGGTGCTCATACTTCCAAAAGAAGACCAAAATTAAGAGCTTTATGAGTCCCAGTCTAGTCTTGGAAAGTCAGCACAACTCTTTTGGTTTATTAATAGCCATTGTTTTAGTTTTTAAGTGGTCTGTAAGTAACTCAGTCCACTGTAGTTAAGCCAAGCCATGACTGTAGGCGAGGCACAAGCTGCTCCGGTTCTGAAGGTCCAGACTACTTCGTCATTTACATTATTTACCAAGCCAGTGAGGTAGAGGTAGAAGCCAAGCCTCAGAAGGAGCCTGCGGTTCTTGAGGACAGGTGTTATAGAAAAATCCCATCAGCTCTCTCTCCCCATGAGGACAGGAGCTGTGTCTCTGCTGTACTGTAGACAGTCCCATCAGCTCTCTCTCCCCATGAGGATAGGAGCTGTGTCTCTGCTGTAGAGAGTCCCATCAGCTCTCTCTCCCCAGGAGGACAGGAGCTGTGTCTCTGCTGTAGACAGTCCCATCAGCTCTCTCTCCCCAGGAGGACAGGAGCTGTGTCTCTGCTGTAGACAGTCCCATCAGCTCTCTCTCCCCATGAGGACAGGAGCTGTGTCTCTGCTGTAGACAGTCCCATCAGCTTGGTGTTCCCAGAGATTGCAGTCAGCCTTCTTGGAAAGTATGTGCTATGCAGCACCTTGGGGGTGTCTGAGACTCACAGTGCAGCAGGGTCTTGGATAGGCCATTTCTGTCCGTGCGGTAGTGCTCGTATTAGCTGGTGAGGGCAGGGAGTGAAGGGACTGCTATCCTAAAGCCTGGCAGATTTATTATTCAGTGTATTTGCCCTATGCACCCGAATCACACACACCCTTGTCTTTTTTTCTCTGTAGACTCATCGCCTCTCCCTTCTTGTCTTCTTGTCCTTTGTTTTTTCCCCCAGAATGCTCCACGGTTGGGCGGTTCTCAGGTGACACAGCCCTTGACCACGCCAGTGGTCTCTGTGGCAACCCCCAGCCTCCTGGCACAGGGCCTGCCCTTCTCCGCCATGCCCACGGCCTACAACACAGGTGAGGGTGGGGTCCTGTCACCGTTGTGCCAGGGGGGGTGTCTCGTTGGTTAACCTCTTGGCTCGCTCTCTGTCCTCTCTCGGCCCCTTCCTATTTTGCACATTCTCTTTCAGTTGCAGAAATGCTCTTCTGGCCTGACTGCAGTCACAGATGCTGTCCAGCCCCCTGCTTGACATGGAAACACAGAAAATAAATTATGTATAACGTACAAATGCATAGTGTTGGACACAAGGGGCTTGTGAGTCTTTAATATTAACTGGCATACATAGATTTGAGTTAACTGTCATGTCTCCCTCTCTCTTCCCCTTCCTCTTTCTTCCTGTCTCTCTTGCTCTGTCTCTCAGACTATCAGCTGACAAGTGCAGATCTTACGGCTCTCCAGGCTTTCAACTCACCGGGTGGCCTGTCGCTAGGCAGCGTCTCCACATGGCAACAGCAGCAGCAGCAGCAGCAGCAGCAGCAGCAGCAGCAGCCAGGGACCCAGCAACAGCAGCAGCAACAGCAGCAGCAGCAACAGCAGCTCAGCCTGGCATCGCTTAGCAACCTGGTGTAAGTACCTCTCACTGGACAGCATGGCGCCCTCTTGCTGCACACTGCCAGTACTGCATGCCCCCCCCCCATGAAACAGCATGTGCTAGCGAGGCCTGACTGACTCTGCGCTGTACTGAAGGATCTGCAGCTCTGAAACCTGAGAGCCACCAGAGGGCTGCGGGTTCAAATTCCAGGAGGGACACCTTTGATCATTATGTCCTACAACACGTAATTGTGACCTCTGTCACTGTGAATACGAGTTTCAGCCGAGTGAGTTATTCAATAATAACGTATTCATCCCCTTATTTAGAAAGTCAACTTTAATTTGGTCTGCAGTTGCTAAGTTGGCTGTTAATTGCTGCTGTCAAAGAAATGCCGAAAGATTAGTTGAGGGCAAAGGCTTACGATGGAGTGGAAGGAAAGACCTTCAATGGCTTTAGCTTACTAGAAGCTTATTATTGTAAGACGCAGAATTATACTCAGCACAGCGTCTTTCATTTCCAGCAGCCATTGAAATGACTGCTGTGGGGTTTCCAGTGATAAAGGAGAAGCCTTCATGCATGTGTCTCTCCACCCTCCACCCTTTGCTACTTCTATAAGTAGGAAAAGTTTTTCCAAAGCCGGGATTTGGATAATTTGTAGAGGTGAGGTGGGGGGACACAGCTGATTCACACCATGCAGCCAGTAAAGATCTGTAATCCCCCTTTTTAAAAAATCACTCAACAGCCGCAGCAAGAGGAGACTCGTGCTCTTCTGAGGGGTGACCTGTGTGGTCAGGTGGTCAGTTGAGGGTCGCTATTTTTGGAAAGTGAAACCGTAAAGTTGTTGATATGACCTGGTTGTCCCTTCAAATCTAAATCGATTGGTTGATCGAGTAAAACTCCAGCCTTACAAATGCCTCTCACTGCCTGGGACATCCCAGCCAGGAAATCCAGGCTGATCAGGCAGTGTGGAAGTGAGTTTCAGAGCTGCAGAAGTTCAGCACTGCCAGTACTCGTGCTGACAAGTCTGATTCCATCCATCTGAAATTAGAGAGCTGATGTGCACTGTATCATAAAGCTATTCACATTGACCATATGCTTCCAGTCTAAGTGTGAATGCTTTGCTAAGTGTATGTTGTTCTTGGTCTGTTCTTATGGATGTGTGTAGCTGGAGAGGCAGGGAGTGTTGCCTGTCCTGGTGCATGCGTTGATCTCCGTTTGCATTTTGCGAATGGTAATGAAAT